GTAAGATTTGCAAAAGGTAGCGCTGATAATCTTTTAATCGCTTATTGCTAAGTGTTCTTTCTTAAATATTGTCTTGAATTACACCTTTAAAAGTGCCATCTAGTAAGCCTTTACTGGTCCAAAGATTGAAGTTATAGTTTCTGACTTTTAAACGTGCCCTTGTGTGTTTGAGATGTGGAGAGAGAGAGGAACGTGGCAAGTGACAGAGTTGATTCATGCTGTGTGTGCATTTCTATATGTTTGCTTTCCCAACTCGGGCCTTTCCAGAGCTGAAGTGGCTCACTCGTAGTCCCGAGGTTATCCACGGGCCAAACCACAACCGACAGTCTGTGTTCTCTTGTTATCCTGCTCTGCCCCGTGGGGAGTTGTGCAGCGCACACAGATAATGTGGTTTAGAACTAGGTGGAGCACAGACTGAGAATATGATCCAATTACTTATACATTAAGAGGCCACAATGAAATGGGAGAATTCCTGCTGCTGATTCGATGAGGACATTCAAATGAGGAATTTCAAGAGAATTAGCTTGCGCTGGATGAGTCGGTGGAGGGGAGAATAAAGCCACAGAGGGGATTACATTTTCAGTGATTCCCTTAATTTTAACGCACATTACATCCTGTTTGGTTTGTCTTAATTAAAACGTGGAAGCCAGAAGGCAGGAGAGGAAGCTCCTTTTTCATGTAAGGCTTTCCTTTTGTTGTCCTTACGTAGACGATTTGGGGTGTTTGGCCGGTTTGCATTTCAGTGTATTATGTATACAGAGAGCTGTAAGATATCGGCAGCTGATATTGAAAGATTTTGCCTCGTGTGATTAATTAAGCCATTTATTTATTTATTTTATCATATAATATATTTATTTACATATCTGCAGATTACTACAACTGTTTTTTTCTTTTATTTTTTGCAGGTTTTAAATCGTTTTTGTGCAATTAAAATGAAAAGGTTTGTGCTGCAGTAATGTCACACAAATGTGCAAAACGTTATGGCAGATGCTCAAAGACTTGTGAAGGCCTTCTCATGAAAGAAAATCGGCTATAAGCATTTTATAGAGGCATATAAAAAAATCCTAATTATTCTAAGCCTTTGTATCTGGTTGTTTAGACCCGAGGTGTCAAACATGCAGCCCACTTTGATCGTTAGTGGGTCAGACCAGTGAAACTACATGATAAATGTGTAAAATTCCAGTAAAACATCTGGTAGTTTATTGCCTAGACGGTGCTGTAAATCCGAGATTTTTTTCTTTTTAAAACACAAAAGATAAAATAAATACGCTGATGGTGCATCATTCACATAAAAACACTTAATGTGTTGGCATATGCAAACTGGGTGGCCATTTGTACATTATAAACCTCACACATTTCCAGACGTTGTGACATGTTGCAGTGTTCTAGCTGCTTTGACTGTCTCGTTTTGTATATCCCGTGTTTTTTGTTTAATGTATTATGTCTGAAGCCTTGATGCAATACATATATATGCTCATATTGATGGTGCGCACTTGTAATTTTGACCTACATCTATAATAAACCGATCACTGCTTGTTTGTTGTTGCAGCACAACTCCATACTGGGCAGCGTGTTTGCAGACTTCTACGACCAGCAGCTGCCTTCCATTCAAGCCAGTGCGCTCTCACAGCAGGTACAGGCTCTGTCCGTGTCAGATAGAAACCAATCATCTTCGCATGTTTTTCCTGCATTTACCTTTCTCCTACTTCAGGGACTTGTTGCATTATTTCTTTCTTTTGGGATTGCCAGTTGGAGCAGTTCAACATGATGGAGACCCCCATCAGCTCTGACAGCCTGTACAACCAGAACTCCACCCTCAATTACTCCCAGGCTCTTATGATGGGTTTGACTGGCCACTGCAACCCTCAGGACTCGCAGCAGCTTGGATACAGTAGCCATGGCAACATCCCCAACATCATTCTCACAGGTGCTGTTTTGACACTTCACACGGCTTCTCAAGACATGCAGCAAGTGGCCTGTTAAGGCAGAGACCCAGACTTTAAAGTGTAGAACTGGTAGATCCAAGTGTGGAGGAACGCTTGTGATTCACATTTTCTTGTGGGTCTTGTGACAGTAACTGAACAGAAGAAGCTTCACAATGATTTGGTTGATTACTGGATTTGTATAATGGATGGAAGCAACAGCACTTTGTCATTCAGTCGTTGCATGCTGCCGCAACCCGACGTGTTGTTACATTTCTCACGAGTTGCACATCAAGGATAAAAAAGGTGGTTGCAGTTATGACGGAAGTTACGACGTAGATTTCCCACAGAAGTCTAAATCGGGCATAAATCACAGGATAAAAAAAATGAAAGTCCAACTTGATTATTTATGGTCTGAGCAGTATGAAAGTAGCGGGTTACCTGTCATTCAATCACTAGAATGTTAGCTCTGACATTGTTAAATGCTGCAGAGACGTATAACACTTATCTGCATGTAGATTCAAAGATAACCATCCTCTTAAGGTTTGCCTTTATTAGTTTTTAAAAAATTAGCCCTCCTAATAATCAGCTTCACTTAGATATGTAATTATGATGCCAAGCTGTCCCCTTAAGTTGTTATCAAATCATAACCCACACTCCTCTGCATTCTTTTGTTTTCATTGAAGTTGTCTCTAATTTTAGCCTTCCTTCTCTTCCTTAGAAACCTCAGTGAGATGAATAGTATTTGTTTTTATTTCTTGTTGTCTTTCCACAGTGAGTGGAGAGTCTCCACCCAGCCTGCCCAAGGACCTGTCTGGCTCCCTGCCCACAGATGTCAGCTTTGATGTGGACTCTCAGTTCCCGCTGGACGATCTGAAAATCGACCCGCTGACGCTGGATGGCCTGCACATGCTCAATGACCCGGACATGGTCCTCACCGATCCCGCCACCGAGGATGCATTTCGCCTTGACAGGCTGTAACAAAAGTAGCGGATGTAACAGGTGTGTGAACTCTGCTATCTAAAGCCGAGGGTGTCTGAGGAGAAGGTATCTAGAATCAGGCTGATCAAAGGCCTCATCTGGGCTGAGCATCAATTCCACACGACCCAACACAATCGACTCCCACAAATGAGCTCTTAAAATGTTTCTAAAGACTGCTGCTAGCTTCCCTTTAATGGTTCTCTCACTACCTTTTGTGATGGATCCTGTTGCGATTTAGATGATATACCCGTTTTTTATTCGAGGAAGCTTAATGAAAATTTGGGGGCATAAACAGCCCGGTCTCTAATTCTCCATCAATGACTGACTAAACTATGTCTGTAGAGCAAACCCATAATAAATCACACTATAGCGATCGCACGGCTGTTAACATAGAGTAGCTTGATGACTCAGAGGAAACACCTGTTGAGCTTAACCTCCCTCTGTCCCAAGCTGTAATGGAAGCCCCGGTGAGGCGATGAGTCACCCTTTTGCAAGCTCATTTATTTTTAGGGAATGCTGAATTTTGATTTTTATCATAGTCAGTGGCGGTCATCAGTTTATGCATGAAATCACAAATCACTGTGCATACTTGTTTTGCCTTAATAGCGTCTACATTTTGGTTTTCATGCAAAGATGACTCTTATGTAGATGAGGAAGAAAGAGGGAAAAAAACAAAGAAGCATTTTAGGGATGGAGTAATTTTTTACAGGTGGTTTGGCCTACGTAATCCGCCGTTGTGTCGTCACTACCATATAATTTTTCAACTTCATTTATCGCACCTAAACGGATAAATGAGGAATACGAGCTAGATGTTTACAGGCTTTGTTTTATATTTTACATGTACAGAATGTGATTAGAGTTTGCGTAACGGTATCTATGCAAAACTACAGCGATCGATTTGGGACTGTAAAATGAAACACACACATCGAACCCTTATACGCAGGAAGGCAGCGTGCAGGATTCTTAGAGGACGCACGGCGACCGTGCCATGTTACTTTTGAAACTGTTTCCGTTCTTTCAGACTAGTGAGGTGTAGAGATGGTGGGGGGAAAAGGCACACTGAGCGTGGCACACAGGATTACTCCCAAAGATGTGACCTCAGCGTAGTTGAAATATCTATATATATATATGTATATTTTTCCAGACAATTGAACTGCCTCTATAATAGAACAGAATTGTTGATACAAAGAGAATGTATTTAGGTCACATCTGTACAACCATGTTGTTGCCATCCTGTCATCCTCATTGCCTCTCATAACTAGCCTTTATGTCCTTAAGGACACATATTGTTTCCCCAAAGCGGATATGACATCCTGCTTTAAGTTTTATGTGTTGCTTTGCTCATTTCCCTGGCACTACAGCGACTCTATGTATCCGTTTTCTCGTAGCGCTCGTGTTGTCCGTGCCCTTTATCGGTTCGTTCCGTATCGCTCTGGTCGCTCTCGTAGTCGTATGCTTTCGTGCTTTAAAAATCCTCCGTGAAATCAGTGCGTGTTTCAGTAGATGGGTCCTTTGAGTTCATTCAGAAACGTGTCTCATTATTGCACTTTATGCATTTATTTAAAACACTGATTTCTCAGAGTGTATATACCAAACCCCCCGTCCCCACCTACCCTCGTGACTGTTATGTGCACTGGACCTGTCTGTCCTGTCTTTGATAAAACTTGCCTTCTTGTAAAAAAAAAAAAAAAAAGAAGACGAAGAAAAAAGAAAAGACAAATGAAAAAAGCAAATTGCATTATAGTTATTTTTGAAAACTTCTATAAAAAAATCTATTGAAGAGAGCTGAGTTGTTACTCAGTCGGTGAGTATTTTGTTACACTGTTACACATTTTTCTTTCCTACATTTTTTGCACGCAGGTGTGTCTGTCGTGTCTCTGCAGCTCTGACTGCATCATGTCGGAATAGAGAAAACGAAACAATGCTCGAAGACGTTTGTAATAAATTATTAATTAGCAGAAAAAAAGAAAAACAAACCACGGTTCAAGTTACAAAAATAGTGCATTGGACATTTGCAGTAAGTGTTATTGTAATACTGTGCCAGATGGGATGAGTCAGTCCCTGAAAAGTATTTTGCAGAATTAATATTGCAGTTCAGTGCAGGTAGAATAAAATGTAAAATAGATACAGATTCATTCCCAGGACACTATTCGGCTGTTATGTTCCTGAAACATCGCGTCTGTCGATGTGTGTCGAGGAACCCTGTGCCAGCATATTTATTTTCATGCAACACAAAACTATGATTGAATCTTAAAATTAGATTTTTAAGCTTTTTCCTTTAAAAAAACAACAACAAAACTCTAATATTTCAGATGCATCATGTTTGTCAGTGATCCTGCGTTCTAGTTATCACTGTGGGAAAGTGGGGTGGTTGTTTTTCTATTTTAATAATTTTGTGACTGCACGAATCTCCTTAAGTGTTTTCTCTTTATGGCTTGTTTTTTAACAATTTATTTTATTTTATTTTTAAGGGTTAGGTCGGTTTTGTTTGTCTAAGCAAGCGTGTTGTTTTTTCCCCCTTGTTCGCTAAACTCGTCTTTTGTCTCTCTTTCATTCTGCATCGTGTATAGGCTACGTGACTGCTAAGTGAAGCCTAAAAGCATCAGATATGTGGTAATCAGCCTTTCATGCACATGTAGAAGCCGTTGTTTGATACTGTGTTTTATACCGCAATATCCAGTATGCGCTTTTTTCCCCGTGGAACACCCACACAGTTTTGATTATGTCATGGTAAATCTATAGACTAGCTTTGTATATTGCTGTATGGTAGGAACAATGTTTTTCGTGCTTTATGTGATATGATGTCAAAGTAAGAAAATGCACTGAGAAATACTGTGCTGCAATATGTCATTGTGGCTCTATATTCTCTGCTGGACCTCCAGACTTTATAGTGAGCCTGACATCTTTTGTGGGTTCTTTATTTCCGTTTGTTTTTTGTTTTGTGTTGTTTTGTTTTTTAAACACTTTTTGTGCTCATGTAGATAAGCGCTGACTGATGCGTCGCCTGTTACTGCCACCTTTTTAAGCAGTAACGTTCAGGTATCGCACCAGTGTTTACAGAGACAAGAGTTTACAGCAGAGCAACGTTTGTTTTCCTCTACCTTAAAATGTTTCAGCTGAGTTAAATACTGTATCTGGAAAAACAGACTACATGCATGTAGAACCACTTGCAGTGTAGATTAGCTAAACAATTTTGTGGTTTAAACAGTGAATCAGTAAGGTTGAACAGTTATTTCAATATTATTATTTATTAATTCAGAGTTATCTGATATTTCGTTTGGACCTCGTCCATATGCATTTCAAGGCCCTTGAAGCACTTTTCATTTACTTGAAAAACTTTTATTCTGCAGGAATTCCACTTCCTGTTACATATTAGACTATTTAGATTCTTTTGGTCTTTACTTCAGAGCAGATTTGTCTACAGCACTGTATCTTTTTTCTCCTTCTTTTTAAAGTAAAATCAACAGTTGAACCAAAGGTAAAAAAAAAAAAAAAAAGATAGCCATAAGTAAGAGAAAAAATTTAAAACTTTTATAAAACATCCTCTTTTTTTCCCTCAAATGATCCCATTATGGTTCAAATTATTTCATATTTACCTACAAAGTCATTGTTTAGGTTGGACACAATTACTGATTTCTACAACATGAATTAAAGGGGCACCTGTTATGCATCTCCTTCCAGTTATATTTGCTCTTAGAATGGGAGACACTAATAATAAACAAGACCACAGTAATTACTTTATCCAAAGCCTGTCCTAAATGCTTAGTTTTTTTCTGCTCTTGGCTCTGTATGATGTCACTGAGAGTGGATCGTCTTAATATGCTCATCAAAGGCCCCAGTGGGATAGGCCTAGAGATTGTTTGGCAAGTGAAGTCACTATGAAATTGATTTCTAAAACGTGTCTGTGGGTCTTATACTTTATGTCACTCGGGCCACTTGGGTCCCAGTGACGCTACTTTCGTGAAGGCCCTTGCAGACGCCTGCATGCCTGCTTGGTTTTTTTTTTGTGACTTGTCCAAAGTGAATTTACAATACAATGCACCAACTACTAGACCTGAACTCCACCCACCTTTCGTTCAAACCTTCTGTATGTTTAAGGGGAAAAAAGCTAAAACAGCCTGTTGCATAAACAAAAGATGTCCTGAGAAGCTGCACCAGGGCCCTCTATAAGATACGTGGGGGTTATTCTGTACTGTGAATCCTGCACGTCTACTCTAGAAGAGTCAGCAGTTGTTTGTTTTTTTTAATTTGGTGCTGGAAATGAGCATAACAGGTCCCCTTTAAAGAAATGACTGCTATATCCTGTCCACTAGATGAGAAATCTATTTTCTGCATGATGCCGAATTTCAAAGTATCTTGACATATTGTATTTTGCTTTAAACTAACCATTTAGTTTTGCCTTTGTTTTATAAATTTGTGGTGAAATCGTATTTTGTAGTGAAAAAAAACCCCACTGAGACATAACATGGACACGATGAGAAATAACACGAGTAAGAAAAATCACATACAAATACTGTACAGTCAGACTAATAGTGGCTCTGTGACACAAGCTGTTAAAACACAAACTGAATCAGGAAGATGAAACAGAGTCACGGTCATGTAAGGTCACTCAGTGGGTTGCCCACAGCTATGAATCCTGTGAGTGCATTTTGAGGACGGCCCAGTGCTGGTTCAAGACTCACACAATGGCAGCTAAAACGTTCTACAATGTATTTTAAGTTGAGTGAAACTATTCCACACACTGCAAATGCACTATGTTCCTGTTGCCGTGAAGAGGTGCACTATGTTTCTGTAGTGCACTCGCAGCAACAAGAAACATTATGCTCGTATAATATGCAAATCTAGCATTCTGCAGCAGAGCTTGGCGGGTCTGTACTTTTTCTTTTTGAGCTAACCCTTTAAAAGCAACTGGTCCAAACCTTGTTCTTCAAATTGTGCGTTTTCTATTTTAACTGTTAAAATTGGACCAAAATAATCCAAGTTGGCTGTAAATGTGAGCGACGTTATAGATTTGGGGCGGGGCTTTCCATTTAAAATGTACCTGATGTATTTTTCTCGTGTGAAGGCTTCTGTCTTTGTATCTTTGCATTATTATTTGTAAATGAGATGAAAATAAATATATCTGAATAAGCCAAGACACTTGATTTCTCGTATTGTGTTTTTTTCTCATTAGCTTGACTCCAAAAAGTACTAGAAAACAAAGACGTGCAGCAGTAGTTTCATGGTGTTTGCAGCCCCCATAACTGGCATAACTTAGACTTTCTCACCCACTCCAGGACTTCAGTTGCCCTGCCTCTCCCACTCTTTCCGCACCAACAGTTTTAATGAGTTTCTACTTTTTTTTATGTGGGATGGATACTAAAGCTAAGACTGCTGGTGAGAGGACAGTCTTTTCTATGACTTAAATGTGTTCTGGGCTTTGCGTGGATTGGATTATGCTGTGGTTGTCAAGAAATTAGTTTGAGATTAAATGTTTTAATTCTATTTGGTTACAACAGTTAACCCTAAATGTGTCTCTTCTTATTGTTGATTATCCTTAACTAAAACTAAAACTAGATCTGAAATAAAATGTTCATTAAAAATAAAAACTAAATACGTAGGAAATGCCCTTCCTATTTGTTTATTGGTTAAGCTTTGTTATCCTAACTTGCCTACAGTCTACAAGACTGAGTCAACTGCTGTGTAAAAGTGCATTTTTTTTAAAATTATAATACTTATACTGATTCTTGTAAATTTTGCCTCTGGGACATGCCCTTCATATAATATTACTTAAAAATATTAAGACTAACTAAAAACATTTTCAAAATGCCCAAATGCTAAAATGCCTTGTTGGTGTCAAAGGTTAGAGGAGAATGCCCAGACCATCTTCAGGATGAAGACCACTCATTGAAGCCAAAGTATGCAGAAGAGCATATCTGAACACACAGCACATCAAACCTTGAAGCAGATGGGCTACAGCAGCAGAAGATCACACCACCCCAGCTAAGAACAGGAAACAGAGGCTATGATTCACACAGAATCCCCCAAATTCTATAATAGCATATTGGAAAAATGCTGTCTGGTCTAATATGTCTTGAATTTCTGCTGCGGTGACTGACATCACGGATGTGCTGTTGACAAATCTGCAGCAACTGTGTAATGCTAGTATGTCAATATGGATCAAAATCTCAGAAACCTTGATGAACCTGTGCCGTGATGAAATACGACAACTCTGAATGTAAGAAGGGGTCACATGTAAAGTCATTCTTGCATCATATCTGATGGCCCCATCAATCTAGCACAGCCCGTCCTGCTTTGCTCCTGTGGACAGGCTGTGCTCTTTGACGTATGCTTTGTTGTTTTAGAAACTGCAGGACTCCATCTACTGGTGAAATGCTGTAATATAGAAGGATCGATTTTAGACATGAGTAACTACTGTACTTCGTTGCGATAAACACACACATATGTTTCTTTTATTCGAATGCCTGACAGAATGTGTGCAGCTTTGGCAACAGAATGCGTAACTAATGCTCAAAACAAAACAAAGCAAACGTTTGGACACTTTAAAAAATAATACTAAGTGGTTGTGGTTAAATCTGTCTTGGAGAAGTTAGCGTGGGGGAGCTTTGGTATTTTTGAGATGTGGCTAGCTGGCTTCTGACAGTGGCGAACAGTTTTGAACACAGCACGAAACTGTTGGAAAACCATTAGATTTTGCGCTACAAATCACTTTTATAAAAGTATCATTATTTGTTATTTAGGGGTCAAAGGCAGTGCGTAATTCGTTTACATACTACATGATCTGCTGTACAATGTTTACTGTGTAACCACAAGTAGATGGAGTCCTGCGGTGGTGCACATCCCTGAGTGTATCAGGTATGTTTACTTGAGGACGTGCAGACGTCAAAGCGCACACAACGTATCCCGGCATGCAGCAGGAGGCCGTGGAGCGATCCTGCAGCTGGTAGTGAGTTGCGAGAGCGCCGAAGAGGCAGCAGCAAACGGGCAACATAGCTCACACGTTTCCCTACTCCATGTGAGATAAGCCGAGCCGTTACCTTACAGGCGACAGAAAATATGCTGTACGGACGCCTGACGTGTTCCCGAAGCGGCTTTTGAGTCATCATTGTCACCCGGTTTTCATTTTGGAGGATTCCTCCCTCCATCCTCCGGATCGCACCGAACAGGCAATGACAACGGTCTCAGCAACCCCGCAGCAGATGAGGGAACGGCTGCTGCAGGCCATCGACAGTCAGAGCAATGTGAGTGCGCTAAAGCGAGCAGGCTATCTAGCTTAAGTTACCTTGTTTCCCTGCACTCTGGGGCAACTCGACTTGAGAATTCGCCCGACAACTCTTATTTAATTATATTCCTGTGCCCAAACTTCTTATTGTATATTTTAAGTTGGAATTAGAGATGGGGGTACTTGAGTTGACAGCTTGAAAGCTAATTTAGCTACCAGCGTTACTCTGGACAGACCATAATCTGGCGTGTAGCATGCTAGCGGCTAACTTAGCCACAGCGGGTTTTGCGTATACGTTAAAAAGAAAACTATTTGCTTAATTTCCTTCCAAATTCATTTTCCATTCTGAATTTATTTTCACCTCGTACTTGTTTTTCACCCTAAACTGTTTCATCTTAATAAAAATCTCGTGTTACTAAGCCATGGACGGGAGCTAGCAAACTCTTAGCTCCAGCGGCTAAAGCTACGTTTTTTGAAACAGTCCACCCTTCCTTCTCAGCTGAAATGCTAGCCGCGGCTAAATCGGCTAGCACAGCCAAATTCACAGACACTTGAGCTCCGCTTGACTTTGTCAACAAGATAAGAAACTCGCGTAAAGTTAATTAATTTGTGCTCTCCGTTTTGGTCTATATGCTACCCTATTGTTATAATGATTACAAAGGAGAAGGTTTTGTGAGTTGACACTTCCATCTTTACTTTGCAACGTCGTTTTGTTGCTCTTGAAGCAGACAGACAAGCTAATGCCCCCCTCCCTCCCCTTGCTAACTTCTAAGCTAACTTGCCCCTCAAACACGTTGCAGGCACGATTCAATTCCCTTTAATTTGTCTAATTTCTGGGGAGTTTCCACGATCAGCATTAGTGCAGGGCTCTTGGCTAATCACTGAATTGTCACCAGCATTGGCCTTTCTAGAATATTATAAATGTGATTGTAATTCTCATTAACAGCTTCTTTTGTTGTTACTTAAGTAAGCAGTAATTTTTGGGTAATATACACTTTGTGTGACCGTGATGTTTTAGAAGCTCTATATATCGTCCTTGCAGATATGCAATATGGTGGTCGTACTGGAAGTAATTGCCTGCCTTGAAAAGTATCCTATCACCAAAGAAGCACTTGAGGTAAGACTGAACTTAGCTGCTGCTTTATACCAAACTGTTTAACTGAATAGTGTTTCTAATCCTAGTGCTTGTTTTTTAACGTAGGAAACTCGACTAGGAAAGTTGATCAATGATGTGAGGAAGAAGACGAAGGATGAAGACCTGGCTAAACGAGCTAAGAAACTCTTGAGGAACTGGCAAAAGCTGATTGAACCTGGGCCAGCTGTGGCTGCAAGTGTTCCTGGCTCTACCAATGGCAGTTCTCATCCCTGCAGAACCGATGCCTCTCCTTCTGACATTTCTGTGCCAGGGAAAGGTGTCCCTGAGGTCAAAATCAGAAATGACGTTCACAACACGTACTCACCAAAAGCTGAGAAATCAAGCAGCCGCAAGCGGCGGGCAGAGCACAGAGACAGTGGAGTGTACTTGCAAGAAAAAATCTCCAAAATGTCCCCATATGATAACTCTGTTTCAACGCCACCCACCAATGGGATTGCAGGCAGTCCGGATGCCCTCCCTGACCAGGAGGTTGTCCCGTCTCCTGACAGATCTCGAGTTGAGCACCTTGATAATGATAAAATGAACAGAATTCCTGTTAATGCTGTCAAGCCTCGCCCCAGCTCTCCCGGGGTGGCCAAACTACCCAGCACTTCCTCTTTGATTAAAGTTGCTGTGATGCAGCAACAGGCCAGATTGGATGAAGGAGGCGGGGGCTATTATCAAGCCAGAAGTCCTCGTGGTCTCACTACCAGCCCAAGGAGTACGAAGCAAGATACAATGACCAAGCGCTCTTCAACATATGCACCAAAAGGAACGCCGGTCCCAAGCCCTTCCTCCAGGGACTCTCCCTTATCTTTTTCCCACACCGTGTCGTCCCCGGCCTCATCTTATGCTGACAAGCTGCCACATTCTTCTAATAGGTCTTCAATGCACTGGGCCAGCAGTTCAGAAGCCTCCTCTCTTTGCCCATCACAAGACATATCTGCAACACTGGAATCCCCATCAGTCTCCCCCTCACCTTCTCTCTCCCAGCAGAACTCAGAACCACACAGACAGATTTCTGAGGGAGCTATGGTTGTGTCTGATGACGCAGATGGGCCAACGGTACCAAATTCGGAACATAAAAGGAGGAAGTACAGGTCTAGAGATTACTCTGTCAACTTAGATGGCCAGAAAATTGAGGACACCACTAAACCCGTTCGGTTAAAAGAACGCAGATTAACGTTTGACCCGGTCACAGGTCAGATTAAACCTCTGGTGCATAAAGAACCTTCTCAAACAGATGAAGCACCCACTCCTGACCCCGCTGAGTCTAGGCAGAGAACTGAAAGCACTGTACAACAGTGCGCTGCCACTGCCACAGTCCCAGGTCCTAGCCCTAACCCCTTCCACCACACAAACTGGAAGGAGCTGTCTAGAAATGAAATCATCCAGTCCTACTTGAACCTTCAGAGCAATGTCCTTAACTCCTCGGGGGTTCAGGCCCCTAGTGCACACTTTTTCATGTCGGAATATCTGAAAAGGGAAGAACAGGAAATTAAGGAGTCGCGGAAGATGCACGTTCTCCAAACGGACAATTTGACAGGGGATTTACCGGGCGTGAGCCGGGACGTGACAGATGAGGACTTGGACAGGATACACACACAGCACTGGCAGGGGGTGAATGGCGTTTGTGACACCAAGGGCACCTGGTACGATTGGACAGATTGCATATCACTGGACCCTCACGGGGATGACAGCAAATTGAACATCCTGCCATACGTTTGCCTAGACTGAAGGGGTACGGGAAGGTTGCAGTACTTTTCCACTCCTTTCCTCATCTCACCACAGAGACGAGATACTTTGTCATTTAATTTTTTATTTTTTTTTGTTCACTGTGAGTTTGGCAAAAATCAGGCCTGCCAAACTCCACTCCCCCACGCCTCTTCCTCTTTCTGTGATAATCTATTAAGATTTTGGTATAAAAGAAGTGTAAAGATTAAAAGACTAGTTGAGTTTGTAATATCAAGGGCTGTTTCTGTTTTATTTTTCAAACTGAAAGCCACAGGAATGAGGCCCGTATTGCAGAGTACTGCTGCTAACCATAAAGGCAAAAAAAGAAGACACAATTATCCCAGATCACCCAAATAGGTGTAACAATGTGAGGTTTTTCTTTTTTTGAATATTATGAATTGTACCCCTCTTTGAGGCACACTGGGATGATGCCGTTTCTTTTTTTTTTTAACCTGTTTAGTTTCTAACAAGAAGTTTTGAACTAGGGTTAAACCTGAGGGAAGGCTGGGGTTTAGCTGTCCTGCACAGACCACCATGTTGGTGCCCAGAAAGATGTTGATAAGAGTTCATCTAGCACAGTTAGAGCCGAACATGTCCAGGGTTTGAAGTTACTGGAACATATTTGGCAGTTACAAGAAGCTTTATGTGAGATATAAAAGAGTAAATTATAAACTTCTTATCATATATACATCTATTTATTTTTGACCAGTTCATTTACGGGGTGTTCATCAAAACAAATGTTAAAAAAAGGACGATAACAACAACTATAGATTCTTTTTGTTTTCTCTTCTGTTTGCATCACCGTGCTCTCAGCTGAATCTTAAATGTTAAAGGAAGCCCACGTGCTGTCCTTTCTTTAAGATTGGCCGGTGCGGATTTGTTTTGTTGTTTTGGTTATTTACATTCCAGACTCCACCCTCCAACCAATTTCCGCTCTCTCCGTCTCATCAGCTCGGCTCCTAAAAGGTTCCAGGTCATGAAGATTCTTCTGGAGATGTAACCGTTTTAAAGTAGTGTGGTGCTAATGCAAAAAGGAAAAAAAATAGTGCAGTCAAATGTTTCCATCCATTAATTCTCTCCGAAATATTAAAGAATGTCCCAGCTGCTGGTGTTGTTCAATGACAAAAGCAAGGACATGTTTGAATGCTGGAACTTTTTCTGTTTCTTTAGATATCGTTTGCCTTCTGAAATTCCTTGCTAATATATATTTTTTTCTGAGTTTATACCGCCTTAGTGAATGTACAGAATTGAGACCTCTTATGCACTTGTACATAAGTTGACGACTTGTTGGTCATTTTCTTTACTGATTCATTCATTCGAGTGTGAACTGACTGATTCTCCCACAATGTGCCCATGGATTAATACAAATTTCAGACACATTTACGGCTCTCGAAGCTGCTTTTTCCAGGCTTTAGAAATCATTTAAGTTGCAGAATGAGGGTGGCACTTCTTTTGCTCCCGTTCAAAACAGTGATTCAAACATTTAAGAGAGAAACACAGAGCGAGCTGTGTGCATCCGATGTTCTTGGCGTTTTCCATGTGACAGTACTTCAGTTCGACTCCCTTTTTGGTCGCTACCACCATTCTCACATGATTTAAATGAAGATTGGCTTCTGTGCAGCCTCTCTGTCCATTCATTCTTTTTGGTCATCCATTCCTACCTACCAATGTGCCTTGGTTTAAAAACAAAACGGTAAATCTGGATTTGCTTCCGCCTAAAGCACGCCTGCCTGGAGCTGGATTTGTACGTAAGAATCCCAAATCCCCACGATCAATCTGACGCTGGTATATGCACCGTTTTCTGTTACTTTTTCTACGCGCTGATCTAGTGAGGGGGTGAAGCTGCAGACAACGAGAAACTGCACATCGTCATCAACAACACCACTGGCAATAATGGAAAAGTGCTACAACTGGTTGAAAAGAATCTGTTTTTTTCTGGAGTTTTGATGGGGCATCTTTATTTGTTCAGTGTTTAACATCTCTGTTGTTTGAAAAATAAAAAGATCTAAATCTTGGCTGCCGTCAGGTCTTTTATGGTTTAAGTAGTTAATCTAAACTGTGCCTTTTGTTTGAAGGTGGACTTTTAATTGGTGCATTTACACATGTCGTCCATGTGGGGGTGCACATTGTCCATGTGTGTTCTTTGTCTGCACCAGAGATGTAAAATGATGAGAGTAATATCGGTTCAAATTCATCAATAATTCTTATGATTTTACTGGGCCCACGCTACAAAAGGTCCTCTGTTATTAAACAGTACATTTTACTAGTCTAAAAGTATAATCCCACCCTTTTAAACTGGCCATATGTGTAGTAAAGCAACAGTTTTTCGGCACCTACTGGTTGTAATTCTGATTGCCTTTGGGTTGCAACATGTTCAATAGGCTAAAGAAATGTTTTGCCTACGTCACTCCTCCTATGACTCAGTCAGCTGATGTAATCACATAAGACAGCAGGATGAGTAAGTGCCCTCTGGTGCGTTTACCCTCGCACTGAATCAGCCTGCCGCACACCTGTATGACGGTATCATCTGTTACATGTACAAAGAAATCCAGCTGTATTTATGACCAGGAGGATGCTCAGACACTGAGGAGATACACCTGGGCTTAGATCACTGATATTTTATGGGGCTTTCTTCTGCTCAGGTTAAAACAGGATAGTTTCAGCTTGGATTTGAGAACAATTTTGTATTAAATGTTGTAGAGTTATAGCCATTTTTAAACCCTCTCCCCAAATTTCTCAGCTTCAAAATTAATTGGACAAATAAATAATTTTGAATATCAGGATAGAAGCCTAGAAGCCCTGGATATCACCAAATCTTATGTTTCCTCCCCAGAGATGTCCATTACTGCTTTTAATCCAACCACCTTCAGTTGTAGCTTGTTTGTGGGTCTCTGCATTCAGTTTTGTACCTGAAAGCACGCACTGTTGAACATTGAAGACTATCCTATTTCCTCGGCTTATCTGTTTGCACTGTAAAGTGCTGCCTAAACAGTTTTGCAACTGAGACTGTAGCCCTGTACATTTCACCCTGCTACTGCTATCAACAATCAAATCATCAGTACACACTAGTAACCCACTTCCATTGGCAGACATATTTGCCCGTGCGCTAACCCTGCCTCCACCGTGTTTAACACATGGTGTACTTTGGATCATGGGCTGTTCTTTCTTTCTCCAAACTTCATCCATAATAAAAGGTGAATCCAAACAACGGTGAAGGCTTTTTTTTTTTGGGCAAAGTCCTCCCTGTTCTTGAGTGTAACCAGGCGTTTGCACCCTGTGCATTCACATTACTTGGACAATGACACACCTACTTCCTCGAGAGTGTTTTCACGTGTAAATGTTGTAGTGGTTTTTTTTTAACCATGGAAATAATTATCTTATCATGCACTTTAGATGTCTCCTGGGGTCTTTCTGACAATGAATTCCTTCTTTTTAAGGACTCTGTTTATTTGGCCACTCCTAAAGTCTCTGCTATCTCTGACTGGTTTGTTGGGTTTTTCAGGCATGCAAAATGAAAGATCAACACTTGAAATCAACTCCAGATCTTTTATCTGTTCAATTTGCTGTGAAATGACGAGAAAAAAAAAAAGGCCTGGCCTGAAAGTTTTCAGTCAAACGTCCAATTACGTTTGAGCCTCTGAAAATGGGAACTATATAAAATATAATGGACTGGAAGAAACGTGTCTCATCAAACATCTAAATAAATGATCCAAGTGACCAACTGAGGATTGGATGGTTCTCACTTGGATTCCAATGTTAAAAAAATTCCAAAGTATTTAATCTGTCATTGTAGTTCACAGGCTACATACGACACAATTTCAATGAAAACCTTTATGACTTTATAACTCATAGATCTTCATCTTCAATCGAATATGCGTTCTAAAAATGAATCAAACATCTGTTTACAGCACAAATTATTAGGAGGCACATCTTAAAAATATTTGTACTTTCAACAATATCTCTGTTTTTTCCACATTCAGTCTACTGTCATTACAAGCACGTTAATATTTATGGATCCCAGTGGAAAGGAGTTTTTAGGAATGAAACTTTCTTTTATAATCCACCAGCAGTGGTGCATATTATTGAAATATTTCAGGTATTAATTATTTAACTGCAGTTTTTACAAGAGTAAAGCTTTGGTGGATTAATTTGGGTCCCTGGGCCGAATATTCATACTCATAAATCAATGCTCTCTTCCACAGTGTGTCATTTGTCCTGTCTCCCTGCCCTCACCGTTGCAGCAGTTGGCTGCCCCTCTCTAAGCCTTATTCTGCTGGAGCTTTCTTCCTGTTAAAAGGGAGTTTTTCCTTCCCACTTGCTGAAAGGAAGTAGTTTGATACTGGATGGATAGTCGGGAAAGATGGAGAATAGCGTCAGTGGGATTGTCCCCAGTCAGTGGGACAGATTTCAAAACTTAAAAAAAATAATAATAAAAAAAACAGTCAAAAACCCCCATACTTTTACAATATTTATTACAGTATATGTTGGACAAACTTTTCAAGGGGATGTCAAAGACATCAGCTGAAGAAGAAAGAAAGATGTATCCGATGAGTGTCTCGTGGAGTCATACTAATCTGATGTACCACTGTCATAAAGCAGCCTATTGTACAGTAAAATACGTTTTCTCTCTTACATGAGCTTCTCTTAAAGCTCATCTATTTCCCAGAAAGACTCAGAGGAGTTTCTGTTCTGCTCTGTGGGTATTTTTGTCGAAATAAGATAAAGAAAGAACCCCCTGACCTGTCCAGCTCACTGCCAGCTTAAATCATATTATGCGCCACTAATACATTGTCTTAGATACGTCTTACATAGCATCCTGGACTTTCACACATGCTGACATGCCAGGAGAAGTTTTGTTATCTGAAAACCTCACACCACCGACATTACGTCAGCCCAGTAGCTCATTCCCAAATAACTTTTTTCTCCCCCCTGACCGTGACTCAAAAAAGTGCGACAATTTGTCTCGTCCTCTCTCCACGTCTGGTATGCAGGGTGGGACCAGAGGTTCACTCCCACTATTCAGGAATTTGGGAAGTTTCCTTCCATATAAGGAGTTTTTGATATAAATCGCGACCTAAGGAAGAGCAGTGGAAAGGTGGAGCTTAGGATCGATTAACGAAGCGTGGAACGAAGAGTATACAGGACTATCAAGAGAAGTCCCCTCTCTCGCTTTGTTTCTTAAATATTTTTTTACTGAGTAGTGCAGTAGTGCGTTTTGAATGGAGGCCTAAAATACATTTAGTATGTACTTTTCTAAACTCATGACAGGCATTGCTTAATTATTTATATATGTGCTCTGTATCTAATGGGTCGTTTTTACATATCAGCTGAAAGCTTTCATGCAGTTGGCACTGTCACGTCATAGCAAGATGATCCTGCGTTCAAATACAGTCTGAGGCCTTTTTGTGTGGAGCTTCCTTTTCTTTGTGGGTTTTCTTTGGGTACTCTAGCTTCAACCCATGCCACAAATCAGTGTCCTGTTCCGGTTGTACCCTGCCTCTCACCCCACGACAGTCATGACAGACTTCAGTCCCCACGACCCTCAACTGGATGAGTGTAACAAAATCGATAGATGTTTCTGTTATAAGGATTATTTATCTTAAGAGCATTACAAGAAACTTAAAAAAAAATACAAATTTATAATAAATACAATAATTATAACAGCCACATAACATCTTCTAAGTGTAGGATACATGTCTATTTACATAGAAAAAAAAATCTGATATGCATACAAGGTGACCAAGATTAAAAAAAAAAAGACTGCACTGGTTTCAGGAAAAAAAAAGAAGGTGGTGTTTTTCGGGTATGAGATACAGTAAAATAAATAAAAAGTGAACTGAAACAATGCTGTAAACTCGCAAAACTAAAGTTTAAAAAAGTATACAGGAAATATCTTCAGTTTCAATCTTTGTCAGCCTGGCCAAATTTGTTGGCATAACCATTTGGTGCATATGTTTACTGAGCAGCACGGGCAGCGACAGGTGATTGCGGCACGGTGGGTTATGCACTTTAGTATTTTGCCCGCACCCACCACGGGCAGAAGAGTAACATTCAATGGTCACCTTCGGCGCTGGGATTGTATTTTTAATTCCACATCGAGGCCCGGCGGGGTCTCTTTTACGTTTGTGTTCTCCGTGTTTGGTGTTCTCAAAGTGCGTGGTATCCATCCGGTGAACTCTTGCCTACCCACGTGCCAGAATTTTTGCCTCGAACACGGTGGGTGTGTTGGTCTCGGTATCGGCTCCCCAATGACCGCCAAGGAATGCACTTCGGGTAGTAATTTTGATTTTAATCTAAATTGTCAGCTAGTGTGAATGTGTTTACCAGAAAGTGAATTTCCGTGTGAGGTGTGTATTCTGTGTTAGTAAATTACATGTCCCTATGTGTTAGCCCTGCGACAGACTGGCGACCTGTCCAGGGTGTACCCCGCCTTTCGCCCTATGACAGCTGGGATAGGCTCCAGCGCCCCCCGCGACCCTGAAAAGGATAAGCGGATGGATGTTTACTGAGATTTGGACATGTACCTGACTTTGAGTAAAGGGTTTTATTATTATATTTATTCCAAATATCACATGTGAAAACAGCAGCCATGATAGAAACTAAAACTAACAGCACAGCTAATGAAAAATGAAACTGAAACCTGATCGTGTTTAGAGAATCTGAGCTAGACTAAAATATGTAAAGCCACTTTGCAAGATAAGAACAACGAAATGAAACTGGAAATCCAAAGTTAACCTCCCATATTTAATGTATTTAGTTACCTGGTTCATGCTTTCAGTGAATTATATTCTCCAGTGCAAATACACACAAAATGCTAAAATCCTAAAAGTCTTTCTGCAAGCCCAAGCAATTTAACGCCGGCTAACCCAGACAGATGCAGATACAAACAACAAAACACATAAAATAAAAACAAGATAAACAAAAAAATACGACTGTGTTACGTAACCAAGAGCACATGAAACTGATCTCCTTCTTCACCTGTATGAAATTGTGCTAAATATTCAATAATCACTCTTTTCAGCTAGTTTGCAATTAAAAAACAAAACAAACAAAAAACACCTAGAAACTTCGGAGGGTCATTTCCGGGACGGACCGTTCAGGGGTGAACTATCTTGATTCGTGAATCAAGACTCTTTGACAGAAACCGTGGGAGCGCTCTAATTGGCGCCCGTAAAAGAGAAAGGAAGTATTTAGTTCAGTCCGAGGTTTCATTGGAAGACAAACTCGAAGATATTTTAGCGCAGTTTTTATCTTCAAGTCGGAGTCTCTTTCTTTTATTATTGTTTGCCACTCTCAAAGGAAAAATCTCAACACTTTGAAAATGTCTTCCTTTAACAAAGGTCCGGCTTATGGGTTATCCGCAGAAGTGAAAAACAAGGTAGGTGGCCATACTTTTCTCTCCCATATAAAGTTAAGTCGCATTGAACTTTTCTCGCCTTCTTCATTGCGCTTCTCTCTTAACGCGAGAATCACCTGGCCTCCATTTTAATATGGCGCTCAGGTTAAAAGGTAATCAGCGGGGGTAAAAAGGGAGTTTGAATAAAAAGATTTAAAACTATATTTTATACATATATAAGTCGGAAAATCAATAATTAAACTCTGGTCGAGTGTGAATAGTTTGCAAAGAAATAAGTTGTGGTCTAGTTAGACACCTTGGACCTCCTTAGTCCCTCTCCTCGTGCAGGAGACTTAACTTAAAATCGCACCATGGGCGTTGTCCGTCTTGGCAAACAAGCATGTCGTTGTGGCAAAAAAAAAAAAAAAAGTTACCCCCGTTTCCAGCATTTTCCGCCGCCCGTGCAGCTCTCTGCCCTGCGTTGTGATCCGCATTAGTAGATAATGTAATTGACCTGTTAGCCCTCGGATTGGATGCCACTGTTCTCATTGCTTCTGTGTTCTCGTGGTTTCTGCAAGAATAGTTTCCCCACTTCCCCTCATGCGGTAAGGTGTAGCGCTGCTCTTCGTGCTTTAACTTTGCTCTCCACACCGTGCCAGATCAGTGCAGGGACAAAGCCTCTCTCCTCCTCAGCCACTCACTCTGTGAAAAATCAAGGTGTCGACTGACACCCCCTCCGCAAGTTCTGGGTAATGTGTAACTTTATTGATTGGGACCTTCGTGAGGAAAGCAGCTTGTTTATTTGGTCACAGCCGCATCGAGTTAAAACCTCAGAGGTAACAAGCCCGATCACGTTGGCACATCACTTTTCGCCAACTTTCCTCCCCCCCCCCCCCTTTTTTTTTAAAGTACTTTAAATGTGACTTACTGTCCATTTCGTTGTTATTGGGAAGCAGACTGCTTTTTTTTTTCTCACACAAGTGTTACAGCTGATCTGTCCTTGGCCTTCTGTTCATTCTCTTGACACCCGCATATAAGGGCACTTTAACTTACCTCCACCTCATCCCCCTCCCCTTCTGCATTCTTTGGATGTTCCCTTGTGTGGGGGCGAGGGAGAAAGAGAGGGTCGTATCCCCTCCCCAGATCTCCACAGAACAACATGTGGCTGACGTAAAGAAAGCATGCAGATTTCCTCTGTCCATTACCACAGGCGTCCTTGAAGGAGGAGAGAGGGGGGGGGGTCTACTAAAGAGAGTGGTATTTCCTGCCGTCAGTGACGTAGCTCACCCTTAAAATGTGAGGCATTGAAGGCTTTTAAATTCCACCTACACCCCCCCCCCCCTCCCTTACAAACTGATAAACACAGACAGTCTTTGCTTGTAAGAGTAATCCCCAAACTCACTGATACACTGCAATAACTGTTTGATTTATTTATTCATCTCAGTGCACATCCATTCATCGGCTCGGCACACAGACACAATCCGGCGCCCTTCTCGCTTCATTCAGCTCCCTTTATCCCAGCACTGCAGGCTGAATTCCTCGCGTTCAGCTTGTCGCTGGAAATTACATCTGTGTCGGATTCCTTGCGGGCAATTAAAACGGCCAGTGTTGTCTTTTAATATGCGGATAACTGGATGAAGGGAATTTAATTAGAAGACAGGCATTCCTGAAGAGCGCAGCCAGCTGTGAGCTGTGTGCGGCCTGCTTCTATGTAAATAGTAGGTTACTTTTGCGGTTTAGTTTCCCATTGCCTTCGGGGACAAGGAAAAATTGTTGGCTGGTTGTGAGTTTGCACGCAGAACTTTTTTTTTTTTTTTCTCCTTCTTCTTCTTCTTCTTCTCTTTCACTGGAGGAGGAGAAAAGCTGACCTGTTTAACTCTTAGGTCACTTTTCTCCATTTGTCCGCCTTTCAGATTCAGCTCATGAAACTGCTGTTTGTTTACGTGACCCCCGATTCTCCTCCTGAATGGCCTCTTTCTCATGCTCTGCATCCGTCGGTAAAGCTTTTAAATCAGAGTAACGCCTCAACCGTGACGCCCTCAGCAGACCACGTTAAGCCCCTTAAAAACTGACGCGCCCTGTTCTTTCTACAGCAGCTCCCTTCCTGTGCCTCCGGTGACTTTGTTACAGTTTACCAAACAGGATATCCGTGTGTGTTTCTGTGGGGGTGTGTGTATGTGTGTGTCGGGTCACGGTGGAGTCACCATTTATGAGAATGAAATCTGACCAACTCTGTCTGTAGGAGTCGGTCAAAGTGAAAATGTGGGGATGACCATGAAGCCTGGCCTCATGCAGTCACAATAAACCTTTTAAAACGAACAACAACTAAAACTGAAATCTTCGTGGTGTGTGTTTTGGTTATCATCACCTCGGTCCTCTGTGTTTGCGCGGCTCCGTTATCAGCAGCTGGAGAAAAATAGAATTCTTATATCTTAAGAGTGTTGAAGTGGGAGGTCATTGAGGACAGGGCGAGCTATTCCACTGCTGACAAAAGAAGCTGGTGTGACTGCATCTACTGTTCTTCAAAAGAGCCACCCACTTGGTTGGAGAACACACATGTGACCTCTGACCTTTGTTACCAACTAGATTGCACAGAAGTACGACCCTCAGAAGGAAGAGGAGCTCAGGATCTGGATCGAAGACATCACCGGCAGTTCCATCGGCCCCGACTTCCAGAAAGGCCTGAAAAACGGAGTCCTCCTGTGCGAGTAAGCAGAGCCTACATCAAAGTTCTGTCACGCTAAACCACCAGGGCCTCGATCATCTGTTTTTAATATGCACACAGATCTGGAAAGCTCACTTTCTTTCTTCCCTGTTCTTTCTCTACTTTGCAGACTTATTAACAGGCTGCAGCCAGGCTCTGTGAGAAAGATCAACCAGTCAGCACTGAACTGGCACCAGGTGAGTTTGTCTTATTTTAGCTAATTGAGGGCGCGGCAGACTTGTGAGCAGGAGCACTTCATTGACGCTAGAAGTGCAGCAAGCAGTTAGACTTGCCTCTTCCCTGCATTGTGCTGAGGATGTCAGTGCACTGAATCACACTCATGGCTATACTTGGACATTAGCAGTGTTGCTTCTGCTTTTATCTGAAACTGGTTTCTTAATAGTTAGTGCTTATAAAAATATTTGACTGCAACTTGTTAATGAGAGGATACAGGCAGAGAAATAATCGCCCGGCTTCAGCTTAAAACCTGTCGCTCTTGTTTACTTTGGTGCGGCTTTAGCTGGAGAACCTGACAAACTTCATCAAAGCTCTCACAGTGTACGGCTTGAAGCCCCATGATATCTTCGAGGCCAATGATCTGTTTGAGAATGGCAACATGACGCAGGTCCAGACGACTCTGCTCGCCCTCGCCAGCATGGTGAGTCTCTAAAAACGTCGCATCACAAACGGTAGTGGTAGTTTTTTGTGGGGAATGATCGCAGTTTAATGAGAACTCTTCTACACCGCCTTTTCTCTCAGGCCAAGACCAAGGGCTGCCAGTCGCGGGTTGACATTGGCGTGAAGTATGCGGACAAGCAGCAGAGGATGTTTGACGATGAGAAGATGAAGGCTGGACAGTGTGTCATTGGCCTACAGGTACAGTTTTCAGTGTCAGTAATATCACAGGACTGATGCTCGCAGAGTGAAACTCGGGGCCAGGGCTTTAAAAGGAAATGCAGACAAGGGACTAAACTTGATTCTTTTCCTT